GTGTAGTTGGGGAGTGTGTGTGGTGGGGTGGGGGGAGAGTTGTGAGGGGATGTGGCTGTGTGTGTGGGCGGGGAATAGGGTATATTGGGGTGTATATGGGGGGGTTGTGGGTGTAGAGTGCGAGTGTGTAGGGCTTGTGGGGTGTGAGGACCCCCTCACCCCCCGCATGGTGCACAGCCTCCACTGATGACAGCAGCAGTTGGGGATGCTTGGGGTGCTCGTGCCCAGCACAGGCACTACTACCAGTGGCACATGGCTCCAGCCAGCGTTGCACATGAGCGCGAGGAGCACAGCCAGGTCTGGCTGCTTCTATCACACGGGGCTCCCTACCGCACATATGCACCTCCTGCACTGGGGGAAGTACAATGGAATAGGATGTCTTCAGTGCTCCCTGCCTCACAGGTCCCAGGACTCCACTGGGAAGCAGGGGCCGGGGCTTCCCTCTACCTCCTGCAGTCCCAGGACCTGCACAGCAGGGAGCGGTGAAGGCAGCTGCCTTCATTGGATGGATGGGGCTCCCCCTGGTGGTGTGTGAGTGCATGAGCTGCACATGCACTGCATGGAGCCCGGCATGATAGAGGCAGGCCGGCCTGGCTGCGCTTCTTGCCCCCATGTACAGTGTTAGCTGGAACCACACGCTTCTGGCAGCAGCGCCTGTGCTGGGCATGAGAGCCCCCAGCATCTCTACCTGCTGCTGCTGCTTCCATCGATGGGGAGGGTATACCATGAGAGGGAGTGCGTGGAAGGCCCCTACACCCTGCATCCTCCCTTACACCTGCTCTTCTGAGGTCCATGCTCCCACTGCCTCCCTGGGCATGGGCTCTAAATTGCCACTAGCCTCAGCCCCATGCTCTGCACTTCCGCCCAGCTGCAGCTGCCCCCCACCGCTTCCCTACCTGGTGCCCAGAGCAGGACACAGGGTAAGCTGACAGGTCCGGCCCCCCACCCCAGGCAGCTGTAGCAGTGGCAGCCCTGCCAGGAAACTGTGTGCTGGCTGGGCTGGGCCCTTCCATGCACAAGGATGGGAGTGAGGCACAACGGGGTATTTTGCAGCAGGTATGTGTATATATGGATGTCTTGCTCCCACCCTCATTGGCAGAAGGGCTGGGTGGGGTACAGTTAGTTGGTGGGCACCCACAGAATGGATGAAATTGCCTGGCAGGCCATTTTTCACCCACCCCTGCTGTAAGTGGTCAGGAGGCAAAGAACATTTAGAATCATAAGGGATCAGGTGGGGCCTAAAATTATGATTGGTCCAGGGCCCAGAAGAGGTCCACCATGCAAGTGACTGGGGTGCAGGTGGTTATGGTAGCTCAACCATGTGCCGACATTTTGAGTGCAAAGGCAAAATCAGGAGTATGGGTTAGAAGTTCCAAGCAGGCCAGCAACATGCTGTCTGTTTTGGGCTTTATGTCCTGGTTTGGCCAGGACAGTCCTGGATATCATAGGCTGCCTCAGCCAGTTGGTGAAAAATTGAGCAAGTCCTGGATTGGTGCCACTCAAGCCATATATGCCAGGCCTGGCTCCCACTAAGCAGCAGCTGGAGGTGGGGGGCAGTGTGGGGCAGGAGTGGGTACTGCTTCTGTTGCCTGTGGGCTGGGATCACCTGCAGAGAGATCCAGCTTCTGCGCATAGGTGGGGGTGGAGTGTATCTGTATATCACCACACTGCCCTGCCTTCCTCCATCATCAGGTTTCCTGGGAGCCACGGGGTTGTGTCTGGGTCACTTCAGCACTATCCTGTATGAACACGCTGGATAGGAACCTCGCTACCACCCTCTGCGGGTGCATGGTGTGTTCATCTGCACAGGGGGTGGTGTGTGTGAGTGCAAGCACATGCACCTATGCAATTCACCTCCACCCGTTCTGGATTTCCTTACCCCTTTATGGATTTCTGCACAAATAATATGGTCGCCCTAGATATCAGGGCCTGTGTGGTCAGAGCCCTCTTCTTGTAACCCAGAGGGCTAACTCAGCCTAATTCCTGATTACTTCCAGCTGTGCCTGGAGCTTATGAAGACCAGCTACTGCATAAGGGTTTTTTTAATTGGAAATTAGTGGCTAACATTTGAAAACCAAGTAAAAAATAAAATCTTTAGAGAAGGAAGTGAAGGGTTTTATTTTATTTTAATTAAAACCTAAAAAAGAGACAACACCGGAGAAAACCCCCCAAAAAACACTTCTGTTGGAGGGGCTTTTTGACTTGCACCTGTTAAAACATTTGAGATGCAAGTGAAAAATTAGGAAAAAGAAGAGGGGAAGAAAGCCTTGCTTTTGTATTGAACAGTTTGGCAGAACTTTTGAGACTACCCACAAGCAATAGAGGAAAGAAATCATTTAATATACCAGTGAAAATTGTGAAGTCACTGAACAATGCTGTGGGTTGTAAAGTTAACTGAGGGAGATCAGGAAGCAGTAGTACTGCATTAGCAGACTGCTGCATTAGTTAACTGCTGAGAAGGTATTTTGCTGTGTAAACATATCCTCATTTTAAGAATATGTGAGTAATCAAGTTGACAGTATCTCTTTAGCCAAATTTTTCTTGCCAGGAATGTTCAGAGAGTAATGAAAGATCACAGCATTTCTGTAACTGAATACAGAAGTAAAAACCACATTCTATAAACCAAAGAGCTATTTTTCAAAAACGCATAAAGTGTCTGGGTACTTTGGTAGCACGAGGAGACACAGCTCACATTCATCAGCTTTTACAGTTACACTAATCTTCGGTTATTTAAAGGTAAAATGCAAATATTCTAGGAAAAACAAATTTTAGCTCTTACATTTCTGATAAAGCCTCAGTATTACCATAAACAAGGGGATCCAAATTATAGAAAATAGCAGTAGGTCTTTCCAACATTTCATTTATGATACTTGCACTGATAGAAGAAACTGGAAACTTATAGTTCTCTGATTTTAGCAAAGTGGGAACTGTGTTGAAAAATACAGCTAACACTGCATTTCAACCAGGGTAAAATTTTGCCCTTTTGTATGCTTATGGAAATGTGTATATTTTATCAAGACTCTGAAGTTCATTTTTAAAAAGGTACTCTTGCTATACAACACAAGTACATTCAAAGAACACACTAGAAACAGTTGTGTTAAGTTTTGTTGCAACAAATAATCTCTCCATATAAAATTCTCCTCTGAGTACCATAATACACAGAGTTTTAATGAACTACACTATATAGGAAATTTCAGCTCCTTTTAAAATGCATTATTGTAAATCTGCTCTGAAAAGCTTTTACAGCTTATCCTTATTTCACATAGGCTTTTTATAAAATGTGCCAGCCATCATTTAAAGAGATAAATGGGATAGTGCAAAATCCTTATCAGAAAGGCTTTAAATACATTTAATAAGTCAGTTATTGAAAAGTCTGGCTCTGGGTTTTGAAGCTTTCTTGCATTCAGTTGGACCTTCTAGTTCATCTTCTTCAGTGTTTTTCCAGCTTGCTTTCATTGGAGTTAGCAAAGGGGCAACCACATCACCATCCTATCAAACCAATGAAAGAAAGAAAAGGTTTGCTTTTAAAAGCATTCTCCTGAATTTAGAATCAAAAACCTCAACATTAGAATATTTAGTAAAATGGAGTAAAAGATGAGAACCACACAAACACTGCAATCAATGCCTGATCACTGTACATGAAAATTTTGGATCAGTGTTCCAACAGAAATTAACTGGTTCCTAATTTTGACCATGATCGCATTTTGATCTATTGATTGCATTTCTGGAAAACATACTGCAGGGTCCAGTACATTAAAGTGTACAATAAACCGGGAAGCATTATGTACTGGCTGAGTGGATGCTGTACCATATAGAAGTGATAAGTGTTAGCAACCTACTAATTCTCTGTATTCATTATTATATTAGTGATGTGAGCATTTGGTCTCAGAGCTTCCATCAAAATGTAGCTGGTCTTGTGTGTTTTTACCCAAGGTGAATATATTAAGCATCTTCATTTCCAACTTGAATTTCCACATTCAATACAAGATCAACACAACTCAGCAAGGGGGAATTAAAGCCTCACGGAGCCCCCTCTTTCCAGTTCCTTTGATTTATCGCATGCTCCTGGGGACATGATGCCAAATCACTTAGTATCTCAGGTGTCAAAGGATCATGGCCCATGGTCTTGCAAATTTGCAAAGGTGTACAAGTTTCCTACAAATTAGTGCAGGAAATAAATGCCTGTCCATTATTTAAGATTGGTCTCTTTTGAGATCTGCTTTAGATCTACCTGCCCAATATCCTAAAGGCTGGGTCCAGGGGTGATGCACAGGGGGTGCACAGGGGTGCATGTGCACCCCCTAAGAGCATCAGTGCACCTTGTCAGGCCACGCTCCCTGTGTAGCCGGTGGGTGGGGGGCAGGCAGGAGCACCAGTGCTCCCCTTGTGAGCGCTGGTTGGAGAGCAAGTGGCGCACAGCTGGCCAGAGAGCGGGGCCACCGGCAAAAGTGGTTGTGTTGCTTCTGGAAGTGGCCACGGAGCTCCGGAAGTGGTGCAGCTGCTTTTATTGTGAGATTGGCACCCCCCGTAACCAGTGGGATTGGCCGCTGGGGACCACCCCCCCTGGCTGCCAGGGGAACCCCCTCCTGGTTGCTGACTGGTGTCGGGGGTACGTGCTTGACTCAAGAGGCACCAGACACCCTGACTCAAGAGGCACCAGACACCCATGGCTGGGTCACAGTGTGGCTCTGGACCAACTCCCACTGCAAAAGCCAGAACTGCACTGAGGGACAATGAAGTGCTCTACCCCATTAGTCCCTATATCATGCTCTTCATCAGAAAGCATCTATCAGAGAAACAGAAAATTTAAATAGGCTTAGGATGAGCAAGAGGAAAAAGGGAAAACACAGATAACAGGAAATGTTTGAACACTTTGAAAAATACATGCCACAGATATGGCCATGGATGACTTAGACCTTTTCTATAGTAAAGTTTCCATCAGTTACACTGATTGATTTGAATGAGTGCAAGTTCCTGTGTGAACTATCCTCTACTGAAGTGGGTTTTATTCAGTTAAACTAAGTAGGGGTGCATCGATAGAGATTTTGGGGGCCAATATCAACAGCAGATTTTTAAAGAGGCATATTAGCTGATACCAATCTGATTTCCGATATAGCTGTGTCCAGTTGGTAAGTCTGTTGTGGTGAAATGAGAGGGGGATCAAAGGGATGTGCGTGTGTGGGGGGGGAGATCAACACCTGCAGTGAGGGAGGAGGTAGGGTAGGCGTGGGACAGAGCCGCAGCTTGTCCAGGGGGTGCAGGGAGGGGGGCGGTGGCTAAGGCTGCTGCGCACCACTCGTTTAGAAGCAGCTTATCTGGGAGCTCCCACCGCTGCTCATCCGGGGGGGATGGGAGGGGATGTGTGCCCCCTGATCTGTGTGGGTCGGGCCGGGCAGGCTGCAGCTGCAGGCTAGGGCCATGCTGCACTGTGCTTGGAGCGGGTGCCGGCAGTGCTGGGAGAGGGGGCTATGGGGAGGGGGTGCAGCCCCCCAAATTTCACCATAGCTCCTTCCCAGTGTTGCTGCCACCTGCTCTGAGTGCAGCACAGCATGGCCCCCAGCCGCAGCCCACCCGCCCTGCCCCACTCCACGCAGATCCGGGGACAGATGCCCCTCTCCACCTCCCCCATGTCTTCCCGGATGAGCAGCAGGAGCAATGATGGAAGCCACCAGACAAGCTGCTCCTGGACCAGCAGCACACAGTGCTGGGAGCCGCAGCTCTGTCCTGTGCCCACCCCACCCTGGCTGGGCAGCACGTACCCCAGCCCCACTCCTCCCTCACCATGGGGGGCACTGATCTGCCCCTCCATACTTCCTTTCTCCTCCCTCCATGTCCACCACAACAGACATACCAGCTACACACAGCTAGCCAAGCTGCTGGCTGCGCTCCTCACTGCCTGTGTGCCATGCTGCGGCTGGTCAAATTATCAGCCACATCAGGTTGATCTCCGATATAGTTAATTTTCTTTATATCAGTGCTGATCCCATATCAGACCGATGTATCACTGCACCTCTAAAACTAACCTAATGTAATCAAAGCTGTTTACAAGCTAAAATAAAAGTGTCCACACAGGAGGGTGTGGTGGATTAAATTCAGTTCAGCTATGGTGAAGTTCTATAGCCCAGATAAGGCTTACCCATAAAATTCCTTAATATTATACTAATTATAGAAATCCAGACTCCCTAGGCCAAGGTGAGACGGTCCAGGGGTAGAAATGTATGGAGGTAACATTATACAAACTTTACCTGTGGTTTAGTGAAATCTCTGTTTATACACCACTGCACAAAATACTGTATTGCAGCATTGAGACTCTTCTCATCTGTTTTCTTACAGTAAACTCGGATAAGCTGTTCCTCAAAGGTCTCTGGCAGAAACCTAGAAACCTTTTGAATACAGAAAAAAAAGAACTTAAATATCTTTTTGAAATTCATGTAATGGTTTATTTGAGATTCCAAGATTTTCCCATATATATATTTATTACTAAAATTTCCCAGTTCTTTTTAGAGCCTTAATTAGATTCTGGTTTTCCCTGTTGAACTCCATTCTTTATATAAATTAACGAGGAATAGATTCTAAGTAGCATTATATGCAACAAACACATAAGAACATTTACTGGGTCAGACCATAAGTTCATTTTGCCCAGTATCCTAGGTCACAGTGGCAGACAGAGGATGTTGAAAGGGATAGTGAACTGAGTATGACCCCCCCCACCCCACTGTTTCCCTCTCATTTGAGGTCTCCAGCATTTAAGGGTGAGAAAGTTCTAATTCAGAGGCTGTATCTTCAACTCCCATGATCAAAAGCTACTGCTGCCTCTTTCCTCCAAGAATCCGTCCAATCCCTTCTTGAATCTAGCTAACGTGTCCGCTTCCACATCTGGTAGCAGTGACTTCCACACTTTAATTATACACTGTGTGATAAAGAATTTCCTTTTGTTAGTTTTAAACCTACATCCTAGTTTTATTTTGTGATCCCTAGTTCTTGTATTGTATGAGATAGTAAATAATAAATCCCTATTTACTTTATCTTTGCCATTTATTATTTTGTAAACTTACCAGGTCTCCCCCCCAAGCACCATTTCTAAACTGAACAGCTTCTTCAATATCTCCTCATATGGCAGCCCCTCCATATCTCTAATCATCCTTGTTGCCCTTCTCTATACCTTCTCTAGTTCTTCTATATCTTTTCTGAGGTGCGGGGACCAGAACTGGGACCAGTCTTCAAGGTGTGGACGCACCATTTATTTATAAATGACCATGACGACACTTTCAGCTTTGCTTACAATTTCCTTCTTAATAATCCATAACATTTTGTTTGCCTTTTTGACAGCTGCTGAGCACTGAGCTGATGTTTTCAGTGAGCTGTCCATAACGACTCCCAGATATCTTTCCTCTCTGGTAAGAGCTAATGTACAGCTCATCATAGTGTAGGTATCATTTGAGTTATTTTTGTCCAGGTGCATCACTTTATACTCTTTTTAATTAAACTGCATCTGCTATTTAGTTGCCCATTTGCTTAATCATGCTACATCTTTCTGTAGTTCCTCACAGTCTGCCTTGCTCTTTACCACTTTGAATTGTGTCATCTGCAAATTTGGTCACCTCACTACTCACCCCCCTTTTCCACATCATTTATAAACACAGAAACTCCAGATTATGGGAAAATTACACTGCATGATCCATAAAAGTGTTCAGACTGATAAGTACCTGTTCTTTAGTAATCTTGATTGCCTGGCTAGGGTCAGACTTGCAATAGAAGCGAACATTATCAATAGGGTTCTGTTCTTTCATTCCATAATCCATATTGATAACCTTGGGAGACAGAAAATAAGATGGAATTCATCCTAACACATTTGTCTTCAAGTTTTTTTGATTTTACACATATACACAAAATATGGAATCCCTAAAAGCAACAATAACCATTAGCTATTAATAACTAGCAATAATTTAATATTTGTATTTCTAACAATTTCTTCCAAGACTGCCACTGAGAAATAAGCCATGCCCAGAGCTGCCCTAGGTATTATGTTTTCAGCATATGACAGAGGAACAGTAGGTTCAAGTTGTAATGTGCATTTCTCCTTAATGGTTTTATGACTGCTGTAAAGACGGTGTATGCATTCCCGCAGCTGAGTTTATGAACAAGCCACATGCATACCAGTGGGAACATGCTACTCACTAACTACTTAGTTAGGTTTTTCCTCCCCTTTCCCTCACCGCCCTCTGATCTCATAAAATAACAACTTAGCAATTTTAAGAGTGAAAGCTGGCAGGAATTAAGGCATTTGCATTCAGCTGGCAAGCAAACATTTATGACATTCAACAAGGGGAAATGCTTAACTTCCTTTCACTTGGTTACATGTGAGGTAGGGTAAGATTAGCAGTGCTTTACTCGGTATGGCCCCAATGCCTCATGATCAATCTTCCATGCTTTCCAGCCTAATCCACTGCACCATATCTAGCCATGGAGTGATCTGCACTGTGGATCAGTGACCTACCGTGGAGGGCTATGTGATCCAACCCACAGATCCTCCCACAAGTTCAGAAATCTGGCAGCAGGGTAATTAACATTGGCACAGGTAATTAACACTGCCACTGCTCCCCTACTGCCAAATTTCCAGACCCATAGAGAGCCCCATGGATCAGATCACATGGCTCTGCAGACTGGACGTTGAGCACTACTGTGGCTGGAGTTTAAAAGAAAAAAAATTAAATACAATCTTAAAAAAAAACTTTTGAGTTCATTGCTACGTGTCCCTCAAGTGGGACTGGACAGCATTTTCCCTTTGTTTTCAGCAGCATTTACTTTAAAAAGTTTTGTGCTAAATATTTTCAGAGTTAAGTCAGTCATTGCCTTTTATGATCCCCTCCTCCCTTCCTTCTCCATCTGTGGATGGAGACTACCTTGTATGAAGCATCTTGTTGTAAGAAAACAAGACTGACAGTTCAGATCCATGCAAACCAACTGGTGGGGGAAAACAGAAGGTATGAACTCACTTTGACCAACTATTAATTAAAGCTATTTCTGAGTTTTAAAATGTGGTTTGTATGAAAACCATAGAAATTTGAGTTCTACAGTTCACAGAACAAAAAGTATACTTCAGTGGTTTCTGAGCTGTTGTCTATGATTCTTGCTATCTATCTTCAGAAAACTGATGGGGCATCTGGGGTTAGAGCCACCACTGCCTGCTTCCATACATATTTACTACAAACAGTCTGGTTGCCTCCACTAACAAATAATACAACACAAAAGAACAAAAGAGGAAATGGGGACTGTTCTAGGGAGTGGAGCCAACAGTGAACAGTTAAAACACTTTCCCAACTATAAAACACAACCAACTATAATTACTGGGAGGAGAGGTATCCAGAGGACTAACTTTTAAGATATGATTCACACTATAAGAAAAGTCTAGGAGTCCCTGAGCTATAGGTTTCAGGAGTAGTTTACAGGAGTAAACTACTGTTATATACCAGATATAAACTACTGTTATATACTACACCCCACCATAGTGCTGAGAGCAAACTGAATTTTACCTTATCTTTCACAGTGTCCTTGAATTGCACAGTTAATTACAGTGTGAACGGGACATGCCAGTTGCTTATATAGAATATAAAGTGTACACACACACACAAACACACACGCGCGCGCGCACACACAGTTTGCATTTAAATTTGAGTATAGTAGCTTCTTTCTGATTACAGAAGTGATACAATATAGTTGATATTTGTTTCTCTAAAAGGAGATATTTACATCAACTATGAAGTCTTCAGACTTCAACTCCATATCGTGAGGTATGTTTTCTGGCTTGGCAGCAGCAACATCAGCTGGCAATGTGTCGTACTCCTCCTGAGAAAGAGTAAAGTCAAAGGCTAGGGACAGACATTTAAAAAGCCTGATTCTGAATTGATTCAATCTTTGCAGGTTAGTCTAACCTGGCTAGGCTAAACCAGTTTGTAACCGTAAGACACTCCCTCTGGACTGAAAAAATTCAGGCACCTGCCTGCAGTGGCTCAGGCTAGAAGCTGGGAGGCACAACAATAGCCCTCTCATCTCTTCCATAGTGCTGAGCTGTGGGGGGCAAGGCCAGGCCCTGGCAGGACTAGGGAGGGGTCCCCCCCTCCTCAGCAGCCCAGCAGGGAATGTTTATCACCCCTAACTCAGTGTTTATCAACCAATTAAGAAAACAAAGCCTCTCTCCATTAGTTCAAACCCTTCTTAAACAGCTTTTCCAAGGAAGGACATTACCAGCTACCTGATGATTAGCTCCAAAAAGCCTGTCTTCCTTTGTTGTCTCTGACAGCACAGACTGTAGCCAGCATGTGGTCTACTAGCTAATGCTGAGAGGTGTCTGTGTAAAGCATAGGGGCTGGGGAAAATAATCCCCGCTTAGCAGGGAGAAGTCAGGCAGACACCTACAGTCTCTGCCAGAGCTCCAGTGTGGGAGCAGAGGGAAGGGGCCAGTTTTGCTGTGGAGCAGAGAGCCCCACCAGCCCAGAAAGCATTCCAGGATGCTGGGGGAGTCTGATTTATCTTAAACCAGCAAGGGGTCTGGGACAGATATTGCATAAACCTGTTTGACCTAAATCAGTTAAGTCTGATACTACATTCAACCGGGTTTATCTCAAACAGATTTCAGCCATTTTCAAACTGGTTTATGTGTACTGAACATCTGTTCTCTTACAGGTTTAAATCAGTTTCTGATCACTTAAACCAGTTTGTGTGTAATGTCTGTCCTTTGCCAAAAAGGTTTTGTCACATACTACCAGTTCCCGAACTGTGCAACAGAACCCAGTTGAGAAGACTGAGAATACAGACATACAGGCAAACTAGTGAAAACACAATTATTTTTTAAAAAGCCAGCATATTTTTTCCTCCAAATTAGTTGCCATTCACAAAATATAAAATCCTTAATTGTAGAAATTAATTGCAGAAACATTTGTATTTCATGAATCTACTTTAATTGTAGATGGAGCTCCAGTATTTGCAATGACCTCATCATCTGATGATGAGGTACAACGTACTACTTCAAAGCAGATGGAATAACACTTGCATGAAATGCCATAAATTTGAGGTGTCTGCATTTCTGTTAACTGTGTTAATTTGGCTAGAGTTTCCCTGTTATGAGAAATAATTTTAGATGGCCTTGAATAGCCGTAAAGTGTTTAGTGCATAGGATACTATCAGCCCTCACATTTCCAAGAAAAAAAAATCCAGGATTTTAGTGGAAACTGTGCTGAACCTCTGCTTTTAAACACATTTAATCATGACATGATTAACAGAATGATTTTCTTATAAACAAAGATTTATACTTGAATATGTTTGAAAAATATTTTTATAACAAAGTTGTAACATTAAAAAATCTCAAGCTTTTTAACAAATATAAGGAAAATTTTAAAAAACCAGACAAAGCTTATTTTACCTTAATTCTGGATTTTGAAATAGTTGAATTGTTTGCTGAATTTTTTTCCACAGAAATTCAGTTGGTAACAGATATTTTATCCCCAGTTAAGTTCTGACAGACTTATATTAACTCACAGCATTTTACAACAGCACATGACAAGCAACCTTCAACTATAAGTGCTAATCTCAGCTTCAGCTATATAGTATCTTTGGTGTGTAACATTTAAGTTGAGATTTTAGGTTGTGCACATTCCAGAATTTCAGTAATTATTTCTAATTATCAATATTAAAACAAATGAGTCAAGTTTAGGGGGAAAAACTTTCCAATGATGAGTTGGACACATGCATTAGATTTTTGTTACTATCTAAACAGTTTGACCATTTCCTTGCATTCCTCAGATGTTCTCACTTAATTTTTGAACTAGAGTGACACTGATATTTTTACAGAAAACATGTTACTTCAAACAGATTTCCATAATTAAATCAGTAAGTCACCTTTCTTTAACACTCCCCGCTCCCCCGTCTACTTTTCGGATATCCCTCTTTTCCATTCACTTGCTGGTTCTGTTGTCAATGTGCCCTTGACACAAACAACTTACAATTAACAGATCAGTAAGATTTGTACATTCAAGCAGCAGCAGAATTTAGAGCTGGCCATCAACAGAGATTACCTTTTCAATTTCCTTTCCTTTTTTAGGCTTAGTTTCTCCTACATACTTGTATAGTTGACGTTGCTCTATTTTATACAAAATTTCTCGTGCCTCAGCCAGTTCTGGACAACTGGAGTGCAAAATCTCCAGAAAGATGTTATCTGTCAAAGTTAAACACATGTTCTTTATATAGTCAGTCAGTCAAGTTCCAATTGTTACAGCAAAGACAAACTCTGAATCTATGTCTGTACTGTGCAAGCTAAATTTATGCAAAAACTTAGGAGAAAAAAATTCAAGCCATTTTCAACGAGTGACCCAATACACTAACAAAAACATTTTAAAATTTCTTATACACAATGTTCAAAATAAAGATTAAAAGATATGCTGACCTCCCATCCCTGAGGATAAGATTAACAGGTTTGCAACTGACACCTCTTTCACTAGTTACAGCCTTTTCTAATTCATATGTAGTAAAAATTCCATATCCCAACAACAGTGGATTAGCACAAGACTGTATCCCATTTTCTTCATTTAAGGCAGGAGTGTCAAACATAGGACTCATGGAACCATTTGATCTGGCCCCTGGGTCACTAAACTGATCCCATGTGCTGGCCCTGGCTCTGCATGCAGCATGCCATGCAAGGGCTGGATCTTGAGTGACTGGTGCCACCTTAGTCAGGGGAGGCACATGCCCCCCACAGCAACCAGTGAGCGACTGGGCAGGAGTAGTTCCCCTGTGGCTAATCTTGCTGACTGGGGTGGGGGGGGTCCCCCATGGTCCCTTTACACATCACCACTAGGCGGGATGCTGCACCACACATGCTGCAGGCAGCACAGGAGGTCAGTCTGGATGCAGCCTGTGCCTCAGGGTCCCATGTGCAGAGCTGGGTCTACCCCATGTACTGCAGGAAGCGCATGCCTTGTGCTGGCCCTGGGGGCTGTATACACGTTGAGCCCCAGGGCTGGCACATAGTATATATGGTGCAGGGGATGGACCGGCTATGTGCACTACACATGGCACAGAGGGCCAGCAAAGGACACACACTCCATGCAGTGCCCTGCTGGACTTGGAGCCAGCATGCGGGCCATTCAGTTGGGTGCTACCTGGAGTGTGTGCCCCACGTTGTATGCAGTGCATGTAGGAAGTCTATCCCCATGCCACAGATGCTAGCCTCAGGGATTTCTCTGCACATGGTCCCCAAGCCAGCAGGGGCCACGCAGTGCCCATGGTGTGCAGGATGCACACAGCACAGGGTGTCGAGTGTGGCCTCTGTGGTGCCTGCAGTGCCAGGTCCATCCCATGTGCTGCAGGCTGCGCAAACACCATGGGCTAGGGTGTGCAGTGCATGGGCTGAACCTGCCACTACAGCCACTCTCCATAGGGTGCAAGTCCAAGGCCCAAGGTCACTCATTCAGCCCACAAGGTCAGGTGAGTTTTACACTCCTTATTTAAGGCATGAAGAGACCTGCATGTAATAGAGAAATACCTGCATATAACACAAGTACTTTATATCTCCAACAATGGATGCTGGAGAATAAAATCCCTCTCTGTCTCTCAAACAGCAGCAGGTCTCTTAAGAAGGGTCCCAGAATTAATACAAAATAGCATAAGATAAAAATTGTTACTGGAAGTGTTTTTGAAGCAGCATGGGAAGAAAATGGGCAGCTGTCATACAGTAATCATGGTTTAAGATGTGTTGGCCAAATATGCTGAACCACTGATATACTCAAGTTTGACCAGTAGTTTTTCTGTCAGGGGCTGTGCCTAAACTCTGATGGTCCTTAAGCTTCCTTCTTCCTGAGTTCAAAAAGAGTTGGAGACCTATTCCTCCTTTTCTTCCTCCACCAATACTCCATAATGGCAAGGAATTTGAGTAGGTCATGGAACAAATAAAGAATACCTCTTTAATTAGTTACTTTAAGACAGGAGTGTAAAACTTACCTGGCCCCATGGGCTGGTTGAGGATCACTGAACTGGTCTGCGGGCCAGATCAGAAATGACCCCTTGTGCCGCACGCAACATCCCTGGTGCCAGATCCAGCCCATATGCTGCATGCAGTATGCACTGGCTCTGCTGGTTCCAGGGCTAGGCTATCTGTGCATACTGGAGCCAGCCCACAGGACCTGTCTGGCAGGGCACACATGTATCCCGCACTCCAGATCCATGTGCTGCATGCAATACCAGGTACAGTCCATACACTGCATGCAGCACAAACCCAGTGCCAGCACTGGCATGCAGTGCATGGGGTCAATCCAAGACCCATGGACCAGATCATAAGGCTTCAAGGGCCAGATCTGCCTCCTGGGCCTTATGTTTGATACCTGTGGTCTAAGGCAAGTATCTTCTTTGACTTCTTGCCTTTATGTTACACCTGTGGCAATTCACAAATAATGACCTAGTTTGAGACTGGAGGAGTTGATTTAAACAATCAAAACACTGCTCTACCAAAATAAGCATAAAACCCTCATGCTTTTACCGTGGAGAAATAGCAGGTCCCAGGTATCGTGGGGTAGTTTGCTGTCTCTCAGCGTTTAGCTCTTGCCTGCCAACCCTCCCAACATCCCAGTGGCCTAATTTGTCTCTTTCCTTGCTATGCCTTTAGTGGTAATGATTATTAAGGAGTAGGCCCTCAGTTCAATCCTTAGGTGTCTCTCCGTCTATGTTGACATCACAGGGCCATGCCTGTTCAGGCCCACCCAATCATCAGTTTCACAGGCTTCTCAACCCTAACTGGCTCCTCAGACCCTAGTGGTTCCCAAGGCTTGTACCCTCAGCAGTCCACTAGCCCTCTGGTACAAAGCAGCGCTCCACAGGGCTCTCAGCTCACAAACAGTTCTCCTTTTTCATTCATACTCTCTAGTAAGGAGGCTAGGGTCTCCCATTACAGTACATGCACACATTTTAAGCAGCTTTTCTACAGATTTTCAGTATTAGAACATGTTCTCAGCAACTGCAAAAGCTGCTTGATAGGGCTGTTCGAAGCTTTGGGTGCTGATTTGATTTGGAGGAGATTCAGCCCGATTCAGTGGCCGAATCTCCAAATCAAATCAGGAGACCAATAAAAAGGTCGGAATTGATTCGGAAAAGATTTGGAGAGCTTCAGAGATTCGGGCAGTCCCTGTTCACTGCCACAGGGACTGCTCTGTGCTGGTAAATAGGGGGTGGTGGAGGGGGGAGCCGAGGGAGGGCACCATGGGAGGGGGAGCACTGCCAGGCCCCATCACCAGCCTGCTCCCCCAGTCCCCTGAGCACCCCCCGCCCCCCTTGGCTGCTCCACTTGGCCCCAGCTCCTGATTCTTAAAAAAAAGAAAAGAAAAAAAAGCCCCCACTCATCGGCTGCTGCAGTGGCCACTGGGGCTTCTGGGGCTCATGGCAGAGCCCCCCAAGCAGTGTGGGGCAGCAGGAGGCAGCAGGAATAATGGAGGTTGAAGCTCAGCTACCTGATGGGAGGTATCCTCTAAGGGGTCTGAGAGAGAGTTGGGGGCCAGTGACTGACGGTTATGTGATAAGGTGGAGGCTGGAATAGAGTGCCCAGGAGTGAGCAGACCTGGAAGAACATCAGAGCCCAGAGGGGTGGAGAAAGACCAGAGCAGGCAGACCAGCAGTGGCCCTGGCACATGACCTGAAACTACACCCTGCTGGGGTTGGATGGTGTGGTAGGGCTGCCTGTGGTGGGGCAATCTCCAGGAAATGTCACACCTGTGCCTCCCTAGTGAAAGGTGAGTATGGGGGACTTGAAAGCCTCAGCTGCCACTGCCTTTTGGGTGACTCTGTGGAGGGCAAAGGCTAGGGGGAGCATACCCTGACAGAAAAGCACCAGGCTTGGGTGACAGCAGGGGGACCAGGATGGCCTGAGGCCCAATGCCGGAGAGAGTGAGGCCTAGTGGGAGGCCTGAATAAGTACGAGACCTAGTGTGAGGCCGGGTTAGAGGTCCAGGCACATTGGCAGACACCTGAGGCTTGAGTGGGCCGTAGGCCAAATTTAAGACGCCCAAGGCCAGAGAGGGCCAGGGGCCGGAATCAGCCCAGTGTGTGGGGCAGTAGACCTGACACCTCATCATACAGTAGGGCCCGAATTGGGCTGCCTGAAGCTCTGCGAGGGGCCAGGACCAAGAGTCCATGAGATGAAGCCTGGAGGGCTTTATAAAGTAGGGAGGCCTGGGTGGTCAGAAAGGGCTATGCAGAGTAGGACAGCGTGACTGAGGCACAAGAAAGGGGCAGAGTGAGTGAGACCCTGCTGGGGGCAGTATGAGAGAGGCTCAGCACAGGACTGAGTTCAGCCCGGCCAAGAGAACTGTCACCTGTACGTGATGCCATCTGAAAGGCATGGGACACTTTATAGGGATGGTTTGGAGCCATGTATTACGCTCTTGGCATCAGGGCATTAAATGGGCAGCCTCCCACCTAGGAACAACTATTTAGTTACAACAAAGGCGTGGCAGGTGAGTCAGGTGGGCAGATTGCTGTAGACAGGTGGGCAGGCTGATGTCATGGCTGGCCTTAAGACAGCCCCCTGTCACAAACTGAAACAGGGCTCTCTTGCTCTTGCTTGAGCTCTGGTAGCCCAGTCTCTCTCTCCCTCTAGCCCTGCTGGACCTTCCAGGCCTCAGCCCCTCTCCCTAGGCTTTAGCTCTAGATACCCACCAGGTCCTGTACCTTGGTAGAGCTCTATATGGGCCTTAGCCCCTCCACAATACAGAGTGTCTCCAAGGCACTCCTCCTGTGATCCCTTCTAACTCCTGTCACCTTGTTCAAGCATTGGTCCCTTGGCCTGAGCCTTGCCTGTGCCACCTTTCAGGGGCTCCTGCCCCTCCAGGCGCTTGCTCTTGCCTGCCCCAGTCGGGCCTCCCTTCAGGGCACCTGCCCTTCTAAGCTCTCCTCCAGGACTGCGCACACCAGGTTCCAAGCCCACAGCTCAAGAGAACAGCATGCATCCCTGGCCTCTGTCACTCCCTTTCTTCCTGTGTTGGGTCCCTGGCCCTGCCTCACTGTTCTTATGCATAGGCCTTGGCCCCCTTAGCCTTAGCCTACCTCATTCCCTTTGTTGCTTTGCTGGGCTTGAAACCCAGAGTGCCCCAGTCACCCTGCTGTGTGTCCTCCAATACTCCCCTACAGCCACAATCTGGTCATCCCATGTAACACAAACCCCAAACAACAACAGAAATAAAACATACAATTTATCTCCCCATATGATGCACCTTCTATTGTGATGCTATGGATATGGGCCACTTTGAGCCTTGCACCTCAGGTTCAGGCTTATAGGGCATTTATACACATACCTTTGTGTGCCCCGATGCACTTGATTAATGGAGCCTGCTCCGCATGTGAGCTGACGCACACTGCGCTGTGTTGCACTCAGTTGTGTAAGTGGCGAAATGCACGTCAGCATGCAGAAAATGGCGGTTGTGCACTTTTCAGCTAAAACTTCTGTGTTATATACCAGCAACAGAATGAAAATGAACACACCTTGAAGAACGGCCAATTACAACCAGACCACCAAGCAGAAATTCCATGTCTAACAAATTGTCATAGCCCAGAGATATGGTGATCAAATCATGCATCGCTTATTAATTACATTATAGGAGCATTAAGAGCATGAAGTCAAGGATAAGGACCATGCTGTGCTACATGCTGTGCAAGCACAACAAATAAAGGATTGTCCCTGTCCTCATAAATAGGTTATCTTAGCTAGTTAAACAAGTCACCACTGAAAGCTCATACCTGTTAGTTTAGAGTACGCTTCCATATCTTCCATTGCAGTAGAAATCTTGTAGTATTTTCTGTTTGAACCCTCTATTTGAATGTGGGGATCTGCTTTCAGGAAAGCATCTGTAATCCTATTAAGAGACAAGAAATATGCAATTAGGGAAAGATTCATTTTGAAGAAGTGTCCACTTAGATTTTAAAGAGTCAGGAAATGGAAAAAGCTTCAATCTACTGGAAATATAGAACCTCTCACCACTAAGTATTCTAAGCCAGAAGACAAAAAAAAAAAATTAAATGTACTACCGTATTTCTTGTCACCAAAGGTTAAATAGCAGTGTAACTATATATTAAAGCATAACCAGCTTGCTTATTTCTGAGCAATTTCATTTAAAAAAAACCTATTAAAAATGAGACAGAAATCTGCTGCCTTGCTTTTAAGTCATGTTACCTGCTTTATAGTGCTTAGCTTACTGTACAGTAGCCTGGAAGATGATGATATATATTCAGCTATATTATGTACCAAAAGACACCTGGTGATTAAACAGCTGCATGAATTAGTTAGGATTCATGAAATATATGATGCGTTACTTCAAAAATGAAGGTGCTTACACAGTCATTCACTCAATGAAGGTGGCAGGAAACATTTCTAAAACAGTCAGGTTCTTCCTAAATTACAGCAGCTGAAGGACACCTTGCATTTTTTACAATAAACATGCAGTATAAAAAAGAAAGCTTGCTTCATTATTTAGGTTTCATCAACCTGCCATTAAGCTGGTTTCAGTATAAAAGGAGGTCCTTATTACCTTCATTTTTCATGCTTTAAGAACAAAGTTACAATCACTGCCAGACTATAGAAGTTTAAATAAATGTATAGACAGAGTTCAATAACTAATCGTAAGCAAGCTAGACTTTTCTTCAATTTCCGTCTAAATGGGTGCATCTACATGAGACACTACTGTGCAGTAGACCAATTTATTGTGCAGTAAGTGTCACCGTCTACCTATGGAGATGCTTACTGTGCATTTAGTTGGTTTACTCCACAGTTAATTTGCTATCTTCAAATGCAGGTAGCAAATTAATTGCGGAGTAGTTACTGCGCAGTAAGACGTGTAGACAGCCAACTGGGAGTTAATTTGTTCCTGGTCAGCTGGGCAAGGGGCAGGAGATTGCTCCTTGCTTCCAGGAGTTGCCTACTGCCAGGGCAGACTCCAGTGGAAGAACCTGAGCTGGGACAATATCCCCTTGCCCCAGCAGCACAGAGTTCCCAGCCCCAATTCCATCATCAGAGCAGGGGATGGGAGATTATTCCCTGCCCTTGGGAACTGCCTGCTGCCAGGGCAGGGGGACACTGTTCCAGCCTGGATTCCATCACCGGAACCCACCCCATCAGCAGGCAGCTCCCAGGGACAAGGATCTCTCAGCCCCGCTTCCATCATGGAGGCAGGGCCAGCACCTCCCTGCATAGAGAGAGTTTCTCACCCAGCCTGGAGCTGGCTGGGATCTACCCCAGACCCAGCCAGCCCTGGGCTGCACGGGGAAGTATGCATGTGCATCCTGGAGCTGGCTGGGAACTGTCCTGTTTCAGACAGGTCCAGCCAGCTCCAGGCTGCACATGCAGACTTCCCTGAGCAGCCCGGGGCTGGATGGGAACTGTCTCAGTCTGCAACAGGTCCCAACCTGCAGCTCTTTCCCATCCCTGTCTCCAAATCATGCAATCGAGACACAGGGCTTGGAAAGAGCTGTGGGGGAGGGGCAGGTCCCAGCCCCTCATGTGTCCTGGACCATCACAACTACAACATCAGTCCAACACTAACAAAAGCACATACATGGTTTACAACCTGCAGCTTCAGCATTTCCCTGCCCAGCTGGGGGAATGCTGCTAGTTTCCCCACTAGTGGGTCAGGGCAGGGGGCTGGGACCTGTCCCTCCCCCACAGCTCTCTCCCAGTCCCCTACCCCCGAATGAGGAGCAAGGGCCAGGAGCTCCCTAATGCTGGGGCAGGGGGACATTGTCCCAGCCCAGGTTCTGCCATCAAAGCCTGTGCTGGCAGCAGGCAGCTCTCAGGGGCAGGGAGCAACCTCCCGGCCCCTCCACCCAGGAGACAACTGTCTCCTGGCCCCCTGCTCCTGCCACCCAAGGGGAGTGTGGAGGTCCCCCTGGATGCTGCAGGGGGGCAGAGCAAGGTTGGAGCAAATCTGCTCCCAAATGCATGTAGACGCCTACTCAAGGTACGTTCATCCAGAAACATTTACTCATGCAGACACGCCCACTGATTAGTTACATGTTCCAAATGGATATAGTACAGCATTAAAGCAGAGAGGAAAATAAATAAATAAATGAAAAGTAGTGTTGAAGGAGTACAGCTCGAAGTTTGTTGGGCTTAGGTTGAATGTTTAATAATTTATTACAAGTAATATACAAAAAAAGGCACAAGGTTCTACAGCAGTGGTTCTCAACCTTTATAGACACAAGGTACCCCCTCAACAGACACACGGCGGCCCTTGGAAAATGCCAGTTCTTTGTTTTCACTCAATTTCTGACTACAGAAAAATAATAGAAAACTATGGATAAATATTCTTATATTTTAAAGAACAAGGAAAGACAATAACAGGTCAGGAAGTTTTTAACATTATGAATTCCTATTTGAAATCTCTGGGCTTTTCACATGAATCACATTTGCACACATAACCATGCTAACACTGAGTGGCACCCCATGGTATCCTTGAAAGGATCCTGTGACACTCTGGTTGAGAATCAATGCAGTCTGGCTAAAGTATGAGATTAAGTAGAGTTAGAATCCTGTAAAAATGCACAAACTTTCTCTTTGCCTGTTATAAAGACTTAAAAGTAGATGCTGGTGTTCTCAAGAAAGCAAAACATTTTCATCTCAGCCATTCAATGCAAATCAACAAAATACAGAATGACTACTTACATTGTTTCAATGATGTTGCCAACCTTGTGCTGGTAGGCTCTGCGGTGTAAGCAATTCCTTGTATGGAACATATCATACAAATTTCCGACCTCCTGGATCAAAAGATGAAGTTCTGTCTCATTTGCCCCATGATTTAAGTCGGACTGTTTCACAGCGTTAAGGATTCAAATCAATTAACTTCTATTCAGTGTGCACTATACAAAGGAAGTGCCAGCTTTCTCCACTGATGAATTCACGAACAACTTCTATCTCTACTTACTACTTTAAGTGAGCTTTACAGATATCTTTTCCAACTAAAAGAAGTCTTACTACATTCAATGTTTTATTAATGTATTTGTTATTTTAGGAAGCTGTCTGCAACATGAAAAAGAAAAGTTTGAAAATGTAGTAAGTTTCTCTGCTGGACGTCTATTTTAAGCTATGGCAGTTACTTTAATCTAAGCTCCTATCTTACTTTAACAGCCAAAACTTTATTTTCAATAACATTTTTCTGATGTTGGATTCAAAATGAACAGTAGAAATGTTTTAGAGCTTCCACCATCCTGGATGCATACCAACAGAACTACAAAAATTGTACTTTATTGCTTCCTGTAATAGATCAAAAATACTGCCTGATCAACAGGGATCTCGGTTTTCTGGTTCCCATGGAAAAACTTCCCCTTTACTGAAGGAAATGTGGGTTTCTCATTTTAAGAAAGAAACCCACGGATTTTGCTGTTCTGCAAAGAGCTCTCTCTAGGCTGGCAGAGTTCCAGCCTACAAGGGGTTGGGAGAGAGTGGGAAGAGGGCAGTCAAGCAGGGGTGCCATGTGCACATATGCACATGGCACCACTAGGCGGCCTGAAGAGCAACTCCTGTAATTGTGGGGTGGGGATTGAGTCCCCCATAGGGAAGGAGGGAGGGAGGGAGGGAGCTGGGCAGAGCTGGAGCTGGGGCTGTTGCCCAGCCAGGTGGTGAATGGTGTTTGGGGCCTGGGGCTGCAATCCATGGCCACAGAGCCAAGGCAGGGAGTGGAACATGGCCACGGGAAGCTAATTCAGGGGCAGGGTGCTCCCCAGGGGGACAGGGGAGACCCACGCACCCCAAATCTGTACATGGGGTGGGGGAGGACATGGGCTGCCTGCCATCCCCACGGCCTCTGAAGCCCAGTGGGTGTAACCCGGCATTGCAGGGAACTGAGCAGAGATCTCCTTGCTGCTGTGAGATCTGTGCTGATCTGGCGACGTACCCCTGTGCGTCCAGCAGCAGTGAGGGGCACAACCTCATGCCGCCACCCCTGCTGCTGCTGCTTGCACAGGGGACACCTCTCCAGGGCACAGCAGGGCTTGCAGTGGCAAGGAGATCCTTGCGTAGCACCACTGTTTCCTGCAGCACCAGGTCACACCCACCAGGCTTCAAAAGCCCTGGGTGGGGGCAGCAGGGCAGGCGACTGAGCTCAATGTCCAGTACTAATTCCAGACTCTGATGGGAACAGGAATGAGCTATGCCTTCCCTTCCTTCCTCTACATTCTAGAAATCAAGGGATATTTGCTGCTTTCCTGCTTCCCAAAAAGGCAGAGCAATCTACCAGGCTCATCAACACCACTTCAAGGTTGCAGCAACTGAGCAGTACTAGCCCAAGGCACACTAAGAACTAGGTTTTTCAACTTGCATAAAAGATGTTATTTGCCAAAGGACAGTTCTCATGCAGACAGATTACCTTATCACGCGTACAGATATACTTCTGCCTTTTTACTTCACAGACTCGCACAAATTTAAGGAAGCGCTTATAGTCAAAGTTATTCTGGATTCCTAGGTGATGACAATCCCTAAAAATATTCCAGAAAGCACATTTAACAATGAGTGTGTATTAACAGTAAAAGCAGCATAACTAATTGTTTCATAATCAGGAAGATATTTACCTTGCAAAGTAATCCCATTTGTCAACATCAATCCCATTTCTTTTGTTAGCAACTATCTCATAAAGGAAGCTTTTCTCCCTTGGTCGACCACGATAAGGCCACTTGCAGAGGGGAAGAGGAGAGAAAACTCAGAAACTAGCTAATGAGAATGAGTTAACACAAGGTCAGCAGTCATGTCAGCGTGCATGTTGAAGACAATGGAAATGCATTTCAATTCTGCATGCAACTGTATATCAAATCTACCAATTTACCAAATATCTAATAAAGACGTAAGATTAGCTTTTTGAAACAAAACCTCTGCCATTAGTTTAGAACTGGGGCTTGTGCCAATTCCAACCATGCAGTTGGTCCAATACAAGATATCACCCATAGAAATTCTTGCCTCTCACACGTGTCCTGGACCATCACAGTTACAACATCAGCCCAACACTAACAAAAGCACACAAATGGTTTAAAACCTGCAGCTTCAGCGTTTCTCAGCCCGCAGGTCACAAGAATATATGAAAGGGTCAAAAACAAACTTTAAAAATGGATTCTCCTTTAAAGGTGAAAAATGTGGGAAACTGTGGCTTTTCCCTTGCAGGCTGGCAGAGTTCTGGGCTGCTTGGGGCCCCCCATGCTGTCCTCCCCAACCCCTGCTCCACACACTGAGGGGCTGGAGCGGGGCGGTGGGAGGCAATGGGTGAGGAGTGAGGAGCACTGGGGCAGGACAGGCCATTGATGTTTACAAATGGGTCCTGGTAGAAAAAAGGTTGAGTACCACTGCTTAAATTACTGGAGAGAAATTTGTGGTGATGATAGCATATGGTCCAGCCAGCTTCTGCCAGTAGTCATAAGGGGAAGAGGTTATCACAGTCTAATTGTTCAATATCAGAACTATTTAGAAAACTTTGCACTGTTCTATCACCAACATCATTGAGAGACTTAACCGCTACTGAACATCACAAATCAAAGTGATACAAGTTGTATAATGCAATCTGCAAAGGAATTAGAATTTCTTGTAAATAAGTTATTCTTTGGTTACCAAGCATTACCCATACTTTGAAATATTGTGGAAAATATAATCCTGAAAGAAGAGTGCATGCAAAGAGTTTGTCTTTTCTACTGAGAGCAAAAAACCTTAGGGCTGAGCACCACAAGTAATCTGTAAATTCTAATGTTTGTTGTGACAAAACTGAGTATTCTAGCTCTATACTGCATTTAACTGTCAAGATGTAAGTTTCCATTCATTGTGTTTTAGAAATTTTTAAATGTTGCAATAAACTGCTAACTAAAAATTTTAGATTTTTCTGTAAAAGAAGTAATCTGGTTGAAATAGAACAGTGTAATGGCATCACAATGCCTGGAGTCTATTTTTAGCTGTAACACTTACTAGGTGTGTATTTTTGCACACCTTACTCAAACTCTTATACCCTTTTCTCAGTCTGTAAAAGAATATAAAACTTAGCTAGCTAGCTGAGATGTGGGGATTACTATTTGTGAATCATCATGTCTTGCCTCATTTCATTACAACATTTCACCCTTCAAGTTCCTTCCACTCGTTCTGCATGTTATTGTATCAAAGGCATGGGGAAAAGAGTCACTCCCATCTTACAAGCGCACACAAGGAAATCTCACTAAATATGCTATCATTAAACTGCTACCAAAACCAAAATGTACTCAGCAACAGAAACCAACTAAGTTGATTAAATGCAGCTACCAGTAAGCATGAATATAAAACACATGGCCCACGTGCTGATGGGAACCTTGGGTTTTTTTGGGGTAGCATACTATATGAAAGCCCCAGGCCCAGAAGCCTTGGAGTTCAGATGCCCCCTTGTCTTGCTTGTTCCTAGCCAAAAGGCCAAAGAGCAGCTAAGGGAAAAGTACAAAAGGAATCCTCCATTTCCACAAAATTAACGAGACCCTATCAAAAAGAGAGGACTACAAACAATACAGCTCATCATTGGAAACTACCTCAAAGACAAGTTAATATATACTCCACTTAAATAAGACAGATGGTAGTTCAACCCACTTTTTAAGTCATGGTGATCCAGGACACAGCACGTATTTTGACTTCTTCATTCTCACAGCTGAGCTCTGCCTTCCTTTACCATTTCCCACAACTCCTGTTTTTAACAATCCATAAATGTCTGGCAAACATCACCAACTGGGGCCCCAAACAGTTTACCCAGAAGCCCACTGTCAGCCCCTCTCTCAGCCTGGCACACAGGATTTGTGTGGCCCCACCCTCCATGAGGTGAAGCCAGACCATTTTGCCCTGCACCTCATCTGCATATAAATTTTTGGAGGATCCCAGGACTCTTGGCAAGAACACCTGGTTCCAGTCATGAGTGGGGCCTAATCAGCAAATGAATCCTTTGTGGAGGGTATCTAGAGTACAGACACATACTGAGCAGTGCTGAGCTGTGGGGTTACCATGGGCACCTATACACATGCAGCCAGGATGCTCCGGCATGCTGTAATTACAGAGCATTAGAGCAGACTCGATTAATCAAGTCTGCTAGAGTGTGGTAATGCTCCAGCAGACTCCAAGCATCATGTGTATCAGCATCCCCTTGTTGAACGAGCTTTAGTTAAAGTGCCCCTGCTGCCATTTTTCAGCACAGGGACACTGAGACATGTCACACTCTGGGCACTTTAATTACAGTGGCTCTCAGTGCCACTTTAATTAAAGCGCCCCTCTGCACCCTTCACCCCCTACTCTTGAAGCACATGTATAAATGCCTCATTGCTTGACATGCTGTTGACTCTGGTGAGGCCCAGCACATTGAACTATGTGGTAAATCACAAGCCTTTGGCTTTGGGCTAATATCATGCACAGTTTGTACTATGTGCCAAAGCTACTCAAAAGTGTGTTTATGTGCTAAACTTGCAGCAGTTTCAAAAAAAGGGAATATGCATCAATTCTGGATGAACTAAGTGTATGGGTACTATACGCAAATTGCTACAGCCCTGTTTAATTTCAACGTTATTGTTTTTAAATTTGCTCCCCAATTCAGTAAGAAGAGGGGGAAGGGACTGCCAGGGAAAAAAGCTGGGGGAAAGCAGAGCACAAAGAAGCTACCAACCTCTTCCCCCAGCCCCCTCAAATTTATTTTCCCTGTTGTAGCAATGGAAGGGGGGCAAATTCAAGGCAAATCTCAAGTAATTAGATTTTATACCTGGAAAATTATAACAGTTTTATAAATGTTCCATATATAGTATCTAATTATTTGTGAGCTGTCTTATTAGGGTCACCTTCTAATTGAGTACATGTAGTAACTCTGCACCTGCTTATTTATCTTCCCTACTCAAGCTTTACATCTCTCCTCTGTCTATCCCAGCCTTGTGACCTATTCATCAGGCTCCTGAAATCACTTCTGTGTTCCCCTATGATACAACTCCCTCTATCCATCTAGCTCCTTCAGCAGACAAGTTTTTAAGTCCCCAGTAAAAATCCAAACTCATCTTAGCCCTTGTCCGTTCGCCTTCAGTTCTGAGCTTTGGGGGACAGCACTTAAATTCTGAATTCTTCAGAAGCCACCATCAGCTACCTACAACCTAAGCAATACTTCATTTTTCACCCAAAGATTTCAAGCTAAAGTTGAAGCTTTCCTCATCAGCATCTTATATTTAAAACTTCCAAAAAGTGGAATATTAACTCACTGGATTCTCACATGTCGTTTCATCTATGGGTCCTCCTATTTGTTCCTTGATGAAGTCCATATCTTCACTCAAGACAAGACCATAGTTTTCCATGACTTTTCCTAGGTCATTGGAAGTAATCAGGTGTTCAAACATCTGAACAGAAGCAGTTTCATGCTGCAGAAAGTATGTATAAATATTATCATTATAAACACAAAGTTTAAGAGTGTGTGTATACATCACATGAGGTTTTTTGCAAAGATATTATGAGTTAACCATAACCATAATCAGTAGGGCTGTGTGAAATTTCGCCGGGTGTTTCATTTCGAAGCTGTTTCAACATGTTCTGAGCTGAAAACAATGAAATAGAAATGCTTCAAAACAGCTTCAAAATGAAACAAGGGCACTCGAAATGTTTGGAAAGATTTGAAATATTCTGAGTTTTGAAGCTAGGCTTGCTTGGCTTTAGTGCCGGTCCCAGGTGGCAGCAGCAGCCTTCTCCCATCTGGCGCGCAGATCTGGGGACCTGCACCCCCAGGAGGGCTGCTGTGCTGTGCTGGACTCCTCCCAGGGACGCGAGCTCCTGGATTTGTGCACTGGATGAGAGAACGCTGCTGCCTGGGACCAGCAGCAGCAATCTTCCCTGGCACTGGGAGCAGGCTGTGCCCAGCGCTGGTCCCAGGTAGCAGCCTGAGCCTCCTCTCATCTGGCACGCACATCTGGGGGATCGCACCCCTGGGAGGAGTCCAGCACAGCCCCGCAGCCCTCCCAGGGGTGCAAGCCCCTGGATCTGCACCCTGGATGAGAGGAGGCTCTGGCTGCCTCTCCCACCATGGACCGGCGCCCCCTACTCACCTTCCTGCTCAGCTACAGCCCCCCGCTTGGCCTGCAACCAGCTGTGGCCTTCTCACTAGCACAGCAGCCAGCTGCGGCCTCCCCCATGCGCTCCCTACCGGGCTGTGGCCCCCCTGCGTGCCCCCCGCCTGGCTGCAGCTCCCCCATATGCCCCCCACCCAGCTCCAGCTCCCCGTGTGCTTCCTGCTGGGCTGCAGCCCTCCTGTACCCCTTGCCCAGCCCCCCCAACGCGCTTCCCTCCCAGCTGCAGCCCCCTCACTTGCTGCCCACCAGGCTGCAGCCTCCCCTGTGTGCTCCTTGTGCAGCAGTGCCCCCCTCACACACGCCCCCTGCCTGGCTGTGCCCTCCTTGCTTGCCCCCAACCTGGTTCCAGCCCCGCAACTTACCAGCAGCAGCAGCTACACTCTTGGCCTTGTAGCACAGCCCCCCTGCATGGCAGGGGGCAGCGCAGCTCGGCCCCAGCCACCCTGTATTCATGCAGCCTCTGCCACAGCACGCTGCTGCAGCCCAACTCGGTGCAGGGCTGCGTGCTTTCGGGCAGCTCCGGCTGTCATCTGGGACTCCATGTTTCTCGTGGGGACCGCCAGCCACACTGGCCTGGGCCTGCATGCATGAGCTCTGCGCCACCCTGCTGGGCTGCTTCTGTGCATGCAGGACCCGGGCTGGTGTGGCTAGTGGTCCCCTATGAGTGGCGCACAACCCCGAGTGACAGCCTGGAGCTGTCTGAAAGCACACAGCCCTGCACCACGCTGCACCAGGCCACAGCAGTGCACTGTGGCAGAGGCCACGTGGATACCAGGTGGCTGGGGCTAAGCTGTGCTGCCCCCCGCCATGCAGGGGAGCTATGCCACAAGGCCAAGAGCTCTTGCTGGTAAGCTATGGGGAAGGCTGGAGCTGGGCGGAGGGTATGCAGGGAGGCTGGAGCCGGGCAGGAGGTATGCAGGGGATGAGTAGGCCACAGCCGGCCATGGGCCGAATGGGGGGCTGTAGCTGAGCAGGGAGGTGACCGGGGGTCGCCGGCCCCTGGTAGGAGAAGCAGTCTGAACTTCCTCTCATCCGGGGCACAGATCTGGGGGCTCGCACCCCTGGAAGGGCTGCCAGACTGTGCCAGACTCCTCCCAGGGGTGTGAGCCCCTGATCTGTGCTGGACGAAAGGAGGCTCAGGCTGCAGCAGCCACAATCTTCTCTGGTGCTGGCTGTGGGCTGCACCCAGTGCCAGTCCTAGGCGGCAGTGTGCAGATCCGGGGGCCTGCACTGCAGCCCTCCCAGAGGTGCAAACCCTGGATTTGTGCACTGGATGAAAGGAGGCTGCCACTGCCAGCAAGTGTCAAGACTTTTGCTTTGAACAGTTTAAGGTGCAGTTTCCCAGAAACCTCTGTACCTATCTCCTTGAAACTTGACAGGCTTCATGCCCTCAGAAGGCAATTTTCATTCAAATCAGGCAAGAAATGACAAGGTTTTAGGCATTTTCATAATTCCCCATTATAGCCTATGGGTGAAACGGCAAAAATCATAAAAACAGCAAAACAGTTTCGACAGAATGATATGGGACAGTGCTTCGAAATGAAAGAAAAGGACAAAACGAAACACTGTCTGTTCAAAATGGCGAAACAGACGTTGAAATGAAACAATTGTTTCGTACAGCCCTAACAATCAGTATACCATATTACTGTGGTATAGCTCATGGGCAACTGGTGCCTCCTGAGTCTGGGGGGGAAGGGGAGGTATGTGCCCCCCCAGGAGCCAGTCAGCGACTGGGGGGTGGATCTTCCTCTCTACTGTTCTAAGCAGAGACCTCATGGCCTGGGGAGCCAGGGCCAGTAGCCTCTTTCACTCCACCTGGTAGTGATGATGCTTTTCAAATTGGTTGGCTAGCAGTTAACAACTGCTGGCCTTCATTGGGCCCCAAAGGTGATGTCAAAAGGTCTATATAAGCTAAAACTGCCCAGGAGATGGAGCAGAGCAGCCGTGATGAAGACTCACACAGGAGCTGAAATACCTGCAGCTCTCTCTCTCAATACTGAAGTGAGTAAACTGCTGAAACCTATCTAGATACACAGCTTGCTGTAAAATAGATGTGTAATCAAAGGCTACTAGCCACAGTGTTTGCTCTAGGGTTATTCTGTAATACTTCTCTATCCTGCAGCTTTCCCCAAGCCTTCTACCTGTAACCAAAACAGTTCTTCACTGTACCGAGTGTGGTGGACTGGTTGGTAGATGTATGCCTTTGTGCCCCCTTGGTCTGGCTGACTAAGAGAGGCTACTTTTTGTGCTTCAGACTAGAGGAAGCACCCCCCAGCTTTTGCAGTGGGTCAAGCACCCTCAAGGTCTACAAGGCCTGTGTACCCCAAGGGGCACAGCGACAAAAACAGACCAGGTCTCCTGGTTGGTGGCAGCAGTACCCCCAGGCTTCTGGGTGTGCTCCAGGAAGGGGTTCGGCCAGACATGAGGCACCCCAGGCAGGCACTTCAAGCTTGACAGGTGGATGGGCGCAGTGAGACAGGTGGCACAGTGCAGAAGCGCCCCCTACTGGCTTGCCACAGGCTGTGTAGACAAAAGTTGGGTGGAGTTGCAGACACTGGGCACATCTACAGATACAAATACTCCAGTGTAATTTACTCTAGAGTAAACTTACCCCGGGCAGGTGTCTACATGGACATGGGAGCAGGTTTGCTGCTCATGGCAGCAGTCTGCTCCCATCCCAATCAGTCCTGTACTGGTTCCCTGCAGCAGCCAGGGGGAGCTCTAAGCTGTCTCCTGGTTGGGGCTGGGACATCGCTCCCTGACCCCATGAGCTGCCTGCTGCCAGGGTGGGCTTCACCATCAGAGCCTGGGTAGGAACAACTTCCCCCTGCCCAGGCAGCAGGGACCTCCCAACTCCCGCTCAGCAATTGTGGGGGTCCAGGCTGGGAGATTCTTATCTCCCAGCCCTGGCCCCGTGACCATGGAGCTAGAGCTGAGAGAGAAGAATCTCCCAGCCCATGCCCTGTGACCACAGAGCTAGGGTTGAGAGATAAGAATCTCCCAGTTCCCACTCCCCGATCATGATCTTGAAGTGGGGACTGGGAGCTTCCTGCTCCAAGGGCAGGGGGACATTGTCCCTGCCCAGGCTCTGATGCTGGAGCCTGCTTCAGCAGCAGGCAGCTCCTAGGGGCAGGGAGCAATCTCCTGCCCCCTGCTGTCCAGGAGCACATTTGCTCCCAGGTGGCCATCTACACAAGCTGTACTGTGCAGTAAGTAATCAGGAGTAAATTTGCTACTTGTATTTACAGGTAGCAAATGTACTTGCGATTAGAGCAAATTACTGCACAGTAAGTGTCTGCATGTGTAGATGGTGATACTTAATGCACAGTAATTAACTCTAATCTCAAGTAAAATGCCTTGTGTAGGTGCACCCACTCTGAAGCGTCAAGCTAGGATTCTGAATACACTGGAGAAATGGCCCAAAATCAAATGGATGAAATTCAAGAAGAACAAGTGCAAAGTCCTAAACCTGGGATGCAATAATTGTATGCACAAGTAAGGACTGGGGAACAATTGGCCTGGCTGCAGTACTGCACTGAAGGATCCAGGTACAGTGGATCATAAGCAGAATATGAGCCAACACTGTGTTCTTGTTACAAAAAAGCCAACAACATAGTGGATTGTATTAATAGAAGTGTCTCTTGCAGAACAAAAGAAGCGATTCTTCTGCTCTATTTGGTACTGGTGAGGCCTCACCTGGAATATTGTGTACAGTTTTGGGCTGCACACTTAAAGAAAGATGTGGATGTATTTGAAAGAGTGCAGCAGAAAGCAATAAATAAACAAAACTGAAAAAACAAGAGCTATTTAGTCTAGAGAACAGAGGATGATGGGCAGAGGGGAGACAGAGGCAAGTTTTGATAACAGTCTTCAAATACCAGGTAGGTGATTATAAAGAGGATAGAGCTAAGACTGTTTGCTGTGGCTGTAAGGGACAGGACAAGGGTCAATGGCCTGAAACTGAAGCAGGAGAAATTTAGTTTGGAGACTAGGAAGAACGGTGTGACTATGAGGGTGGTGAAGCACTGAATCTACAGAAATCGTTGAATCTTCATCCAACGGTGTGACTACGAGGGTGGTGAAGCATTGAATCTACAGAAATCGTTGAATCTTCATCCTTAGAAATTTTCAAGAGCTCATTAGACAAACACTTGACTGTGATGATTTAGTCAGGGATGGTCCTCCCTTGAGCAAGAGACTGCACCAAATGACCTTATGAGGTCCTTTCCTTCCTTACTTTCCTATGATCAACAACTTTGCAAAGGTTATATAGCAAGTCAGAGTCAGAAACAGATAGATACCTGTGTTACCCAGAGGACCAGGCTGCCTTAAAGGAATGCAAATTTTATGCTCTCCTAGTTAGTAAATATCAACTTGTTTGCATATAAATTAGAATATTTTATGAACAAACAAGTTCTTCCCTTTCTCACTTTCTGCATTTCACATAATAGTATAATGAAAGTTGTTAGGAATATAGGGAATTGGTTTAAACTTTTTGGAAAAATGGTCATTCTTTTACAAGCCATTTTTGTATTACATTTCTTTGCTTTAGTAATAAAATCTGTAAAGCTGAAAAGAAAAAAAATGTTTAGGTTGATGTTTTATGCCTGTGGAAATTTGGATTTTAGATAAAAGTTATCCTATAAATATTTTAAAGAGATTATTTTAATCAAAACCTCCCAGCTTGGCTATTAGGAGACAGAACAAGGGAGTCACCATGCACAAGTGGTCGAGAACTTTTTTGAAAAATTAAGACCTGTCAATTTTCTATTCTATAAGAAGTTAGATGTCTGCTGTGGCATTTCTTAACAGACAATGTCAGATCCCCATATATTTAAGAAAATTTTTCCCTTAAAAATGCTGTGTTAACTTATGTGTTAACATATTATTCTTTATAAAATATACTTACCTTCCATTTCAGCCCAGGACGAACGAGTGGAATAAATCTTCCATCAAACATGTGTGAAAATGGTCCATGACCTTAAAATCAAAGTGTAGAGACTTACTGTGAGATAGGTTTGCCAGTAAAAATATATGCATGGATGTTAAAAACTCTTTTTTAACTGACCTGGTGTTCTGAACATCTCTGAACTAGGTTCGGATACAGTATCTGTACAAATGCACACACTTCAGGAAGAATAAATGACTGCAGTTTTGAAGGAGTTGTCCGTCAGATAGAACTAAATTCAGGTCATTTTGTCCAAGTGAAAATGAAGAATCCTAAAACACTTTCTACAGAGCATTCAGAAAAACTCAGCATTCTGGCTAATTACTGAATCACTTGATAAATTCAGTTCTAATATTCTGCAATGTGCAGGATTTTGGAACTGCCAAGATTACAATTAAATGTTCTATATCAGCTATGTAGTGGATTAGCAAAGTGAAATTTAATGAAATATAATAGAATATGCATTTTTCCAGCATTTTCATTTCAAATGCTCACACTTTGAGATTTTAATCACAGGAGCCAGATGGGCTGGAATATTTGAACCATCAAGGAAGCCATCGTTTATACAAAAACTAAGTAAAAATTTAGAGATGGACAGTGGCCCAACAGCCATTTAAACTACCAGACAACTGCTCCAACAACTTGTCAGTTATTCCCAATTAGCTTCTTCCCCAAAATTCTCTAAAGAAAGAAAGAAAGAAACTTTTGACTTGTTTGAATTTTTATAAAGGTTTATTAAGGGGGAAAGGGGGTAACAATCCAGGCAGGGGCCCAGGTGTAACAAACAGAGCCTAGGGCTATGGCCTGCAAGCCCTGCCCTCCCAGTCTAAAAAAACCCTAAAACAGCTAGTCCAACAACAGTCTGCTCAGACCCCTGCTGGCACCCCAGGAAGGGGCAAGCAATATCACAGCGTGAGGACTAAATGGATGCCCTCAACGCTGCAGAGCACCCCCTAAATGGCCCAACATGCCTGGAAGGTGGGTACTGTCTGCTGGAGGACCTCATGTTCAAATTCCAGTGTCAGGTGTCTGGACCAAGAACTGAAAAAGTCTCAGAGTGTCATCAGAGCCGGCCCCAGTGAGCTGGTTCCTGCGGCTCTTGAGGATGGCCATCTCAGCCTGACCAAGCAAAAAAATTGGCCAGGCAGATGACACCCCACTCTGCTGCCCGGTATGGGAAAGAGAACAAACAGGTGGTCTCTGAGAGGTCCAAGTCTAGTGCCTCAAACAAGGTGCCAAGGGCAGCAAAGAGTGGCAGCAGCTGGGGGCACCTGAGGAAGGCATGGGATAAATTCTCTTCTACGTCCCCTGAGCAAAAGGGACAGGCTGCAGATGCAGTTGGGTCCATGTGGCGGACAAGAGTGCCAGTGGCCAGTATTCCGTGCAACAACCACCACTAGAAGTCGCTAGTCTGTTTGGCAATGGGTAGCTTATAAAGCATGCGCCACGCAGGGCGAGCTGGTGTGATTGCTGGTGCCACTAGGTGCCGCCTCCATGTCGTGTCAGGTTGAGTGCCAAGGATGCAAGCATAGCAGAGACAAACCACGCATGCGTACAGGGCTTTCCAGGGAAGCATGTCAAAGTGAATCCCAGCATCGCTGTCAGATGCACGGAAAGAGTCAATAAGGTGCCCGGCCCACCACGCAGATCATTATCGACAGCCCAGACAACAGGCAGTGGTAGAAAGGGCTCTCCGAAGACATCTCTGGCAGGGATATCCCCCCGCACTTGGAGGTATTCCTTGATGGCAGCTGCTGCCTCTGCTGGGAGGGTGGCTTGCATGTCCCCCAAGAAACAGGCCTTGCAGCAGACTGAATGCATGCCCAACCAGGCAGCCAGAGCCTCAGCTGACAGTCAGTCTGACTGGTCCATATCGAGAAGGTGGCTTAACTGGACTGTACACGACTACATGAGAGTCAGTGAAGCTATCAGACCTGAGGCTCGACAGCCTATACTGCAGGGTCAGGTTGTAGACAAGTGGCTTCTGCAACAACTGGAAATTGCAGATGTCTGGCCCAGGACTGGAGGTGGAAGACAGCCCATGTCAGGCTGTGGTCAGCCCATGTCAGGCCCATGTCAGGCCCATGTCAGGCTGTGGTAAAAGGGCGGGAGGGTGCCCCAGTCCAGGAGGGTAGGATCCAGGAGAAAGAGTTTTCGGTCAAACAGAAACACACAGGCCAGCTGCTGCCAGGGAGGGCAGTCTTCACAATAAAGGAGTCTCTGGAGAGCCTGCAGGCAGAAAGCCACTCTACTCGCCAGGTCAACCAAGCCCTGGCCTCCCTCAGCCATAGGCAGATAGAGAACAGCTCAGGGAAGCCAATGACGTCTGATCCAGAATAAGTCTACCAGCAGTCTTTGAAGCTGTTTGAGTAAATCTGGGGGGGGGTCCAACACAGCACGCTGGTGCCATAACGTTGCGGCTGCCAAGTTGTTCACAATGAGGACCCGCCCAAGGTAGGAGATTGGGCAAGCGCCACCGCCACAGGCATGCCTCCTCACTGAGGCCTTCCCAATTCCAGGCTGGCAAAACTCATGAGCCGAGCAATATCCCCAGAGCTTTAAGGCCCTCACGCCGCCAGGTGAGACCCACCCCACCCCGGGCAGGTCTGGGGAGGGATGACTGGTCCAAGCACCAAGGTGTACAGCATTGCTCTTGGGCCAGTTAATGCAAGCTTACGAAGCATGCTCATAAGCATGCTGACAGTCCACCAGCAACTGGACCCTGTGAAAGGCTCTCTCCTCATCCAAATTCAAAGAGGTCTGCGGCTGTCAACAGGTCAAGAAGCAGGACCAGATTGTCCTGGATAGTCCTACCCAGCACGTAATAGCTCTGTTCAGGGCCAATGACAGAGGCTATGACAACACACAGCCGACTGGGCAAGGCTTTGGCCAGTATCTTGTAG